TACTTCTCACTGTGCATAAATAACTGCAGTATTTAAGTATTTTTGTACCAAATACTTGGTAACAAAATACTGGTATTTTTTCTACTTAATATATTTTTTTGTTTTGTTTTGTTTTTTGTTTTTTTTGTTTTTTTCCTGTAAAACTGGCTTGCAGTTTGCAAGTTAAACATGATGTAATTATGTTGACAACATCTAAAATCTACGGCCATGGTTTCTGTTCACATGACCCTGCACACAGTATGCAAGGAACTGTATACATCTGCCTTTAGAATAAATCTTGAAGATGATGCTATTTTTCCATTGTGATGCTAGGTAAAGAGCAGAAGGTAGTGGAGACTCTGTGCACCAATCTGGATCAAGAAGATCATCACAAGAAAATGACATCACAATCAGATGACGAGACTCTCCACCCCACACAACCTCAACAGCAGAACAGAACCATCACCTACGGAGAATAAACACATTCGCAGAACATAATCAGGCTCAGATTGTTCAAATAATATAGGAAAAAGTGAATTGAATTACAGTGCACTATATATGTTTTTTCTGCTCCTAAAGCATTTAATACTCCTCAAACTACCCATTCGAATCTCATTTTGATGAAAAATGATTTTCTCATAGATTTGCATGGTGGCATTTTCTCATAGTTTAAATTCAAAGATTGTCTTTACTCAGTACAACTTTGCTGCAAATTTAGTTACTTGAAACCTACATGAAACCAAATTGCATTTGACTTGCCCAATGTGAAGTTGCAGCCATCTTAACTTTGAGAAATTTCATGGAGCAAGCAAACAAAACCATGTTAATGCATCACATGATCATGTTGACCGATATAATTTCAAACAATTCATTTCACTGCCTTAGTGGACAAGAAAGTACAGGAGATGGTTTATTGGGCAATTGAAAAAGAGATTCTTCCAATGAACTTAATGTATGTAGTTTTTTATTTTGTCAGTTACCTTAACCATAAACAAACAAGCATGTTTCTCAAAACTAGCATTTCTGTAATTGGCAGGCTTAACTAACAAGCTGACACTAACAGCTGGGTGCACACCTGCTTGTACCCACATGTATTCTTCTATATTAGTCTGCTGTTATCAATATCTCGCTAGATAATTCATTTTATCCTCTCTTGATGCCCCCTAAAATTAACTGGAAATCAACAGATGTAAATTATCATAGTAGTAATATGACATGACATTTGTATAGCACTTTGCTAGGACTCAAAGACACTTACAGATTACAATTAGAGTCACAAGAAACAAATACATAACAGCATACAAACAGATGACACAGTAGAGACAGAGATATATGTTCACAGCACAGATGACGAACTAACATGAGCTATAGTAGTTTAGGATAGGGGAAGATTGTATGCAAGACAGAACAGATGTGTTTTAAGGTTGGATTTAAATGAGGACAGAGAATTAGATTTCGGAATATGAGAAGGGAGAGGCGTGGAGCATCACTAAAGCTGTGGAGGTTGTTGGGGGGGGCGGTAAGCAGACCGGCGGTAGAAGAACGTGTAGGCTTGTAGGATTAGAGAAGATCAGAGAGATAGGAAGGAGTAAGATTGTTGAGAGCTTTGCAGGTGAGAAGAAGGATCTTAAACTGAATACGGTAGTTTATGGGAAGCCAATGGAGGTTTTGGAGAACAGATGTAATGTGGTGATGAGACCAGGTGTAAGTGATGAGATGAGTTTTGAACTGTCTGGAGTTTATGAAGTGAAGAGGAGCTGATGCCTGCAAGAAGAGAATTGCTTGTTAAAAGCACTTCTACACTGCCACTGCTACACAGCTAAGGAACTTCTACATTGCACATTGCTCTCCCTTTCAGCTTTCTTATGGCTTTATGTCCTTGTTTACTCTTTTCTTCCTTTTTTTTCCTTTCATTTTATTATATTTCTTCTTCAGTGAGAGGCGTCTACTTTTAGTTGTTTAAAGTTGTTCACTTTTCCATAGACTTGTGTGGTGGAATCTTGAGACATATTTGAATTCAGCTGTTATAGAAGATGTCATAATTGAAGCTGATTTAAAGTTCTGAATGTTTTCTATTGTACTCTATTTTCCATTTGTCCATCTTTGCATGTCAAGCAGTTGATTTTATTTTTTCAGTATTTATTAAACTTAAATGTTTCAATGATTTTTTTGGGATTATCTTTGAATTGTTTCTGGTGCTTCTGTAAAGTGACATTGGTTCTGAAAATTGCCTGTGATAACAATACACCAAATTCTGTATATGTCTGATCTACAAGGTATAGCAGAAAACATGAAAGTCATTTTTCACAAAAAAGATCATCCAAGCTCTTCTAAAACTTGTAAAAATGTATGAAATTGCCCAAAACCATCTGATGAGACAAAGTTTGAAGTCTTTGGTCTGAAATTTAAAAAGATATTTGGCACACAATTCACAGCTCATCAAGTAAAGCAATGGTTCTCAACTTGGTCCTCAGGGACCACCAGAATGTCCTGACATATTTTTGCCTGAACCTAACTTGTTGGGAAATTATTAGGAAAATCTGGGCCATTTTGGGTTTCCTGAGGACCAGTTTGAGAACAAGCAAACTGAGGAATATCATGTCTACAGTGAAGCATGGTGGTGGGAGCATCTTTTGGGACTGCTTCCTTTCAGGTAGGACAGGGGCTCTAGTCAAAATAGACCAGATAACTATTAGTTCCAAATGTCAAGATATTTTGGCAAAATGGTTACAATTTAAATCGTCTGAGTCAACCAAGAAATGTGTTAAAAAAAATAAAAGCGGCATCTCTTTGGCATCATAGCCAAAGCCTAAACATCAGTTCCATAGAAAACCTGTAGAATGACTTAAATTAGACTGAGCAGAAAACATCACCTGGCAGCTTGAAGGAGCTTGAACCTTTGGCAAGGAAGAGGCTTTCCACCATAAAAACCTGAAACAGCAGATGTGTGGAGTTTTTCTGTCCAGTGTGTGGTTTCTTGTTTAGAAAGAAAACAGGAAGTGATATAGAAACAAAGGTACATCCCCTTTTTCTCACAAAAGCAATTATGAATATCACAACACCAAGTCGGCTTGAGACTTTCTGATGCTCTTTTTCATCTGTTCTCTTGATTAAATGAAAAATGCTGCTCATCTTTGGAGTCCTGGTGATGTTCACAGAAGCTGCAGTAGGTATGTTTCCTCCAGTTACATGATTCATTTTATACTTGTAGAGTTTGTGCTGTTTATTGAGAAGGGTGATAATGACTGATTATGTAACAGTTGTATGTGTGCTTAGGTACATGTGGAGTCTTTATAGTCTTCTTTCTAACTGGAATTACTATGTAGTTGTGCTTGTAGGTCAATGTACAGACAGATCAAACATTTCAGAACACTCAGTGAATTGAAAAGAAGCCATGACATCATTTTGATTGTTAGAACCCAACAACAGTCAAAACTGTCACAGTGATCTGAGGTGTGAATCACTGTCACAGTGGTGTTGTTTTGGGAGGAATAGGTGGGATGTCACCCTTAAGAACAATATCCACTTAATATAAAGCTAAACCTTACCTGTCGAGCATGTACAGGAAGATAAAGCTTAAACCTACATACAGTTAGAGGAAGTAAACTGGAGCAGAAGACTGTTTAGTTTCTATAGCACAAAAAGGAAAAACTTTAATTACACTATTACTACTACCTTTCACTATTGGGCATATCTGAACTGGACAGTTAATGTGGGCTGAACAGTAGGACAGTTTTGCTCGAATTTATGACTAAAAGTTATCAGTCTAAAGACTCATTATTAATTTACTGGCATATGTACCATCCTCTACATAGTTATTACCAAGGTTTGCTTAAAAATCTTCAAAAGTAGACAAGGAAGCTGCATCGCCGCAGCTTGATGAGTAGTTTACTTTAATGTAGAAATATGATTTTCTGTCTCTTTGTTATTTGTGGTGTTCAAGGCAATCTCTAACATTGCCAATGTTCACACAGGCTGAATAGGAAGCATTAAACTTTGTGGACTTTTTTTCTCCTCCATTGTCCTACATTTAATATGATTTTCTGTTTTAGCAGTTTACTTTCACTGTAGTCAAACTCTGGACCAGTGGCCAATAGAATACATATTGGAATAAAAACACAGTTGTATGAAAAAGTTTGGGCAGCACACATAAATTTGCATGTTTTTTTGAAATGTAAAAATAAGTGAACACATCCTCTACAGAGAACACACCTCTGTAAATTTCAATGCACAATTACTGTTTATTTCTTGAATTTAACATAATGGGGGTGGGGGGGTATTAAAATCTAAAATGTGCCCTGTGCAAAAGTTATGGCACATTTTATATTTTATATAACTTATTAAATTTATTTCCATTTCGAAAATCAACATGTAATTTGACCAGGGGTGTCTACACTTTTGCAGACAACTCTAGATCAACTACAAAATTCCACCCCAACCCATTTGCTGGATATTACTCGAGGGGACTCCCATGACGGAGATACCCCTTGAGTAGGTGCACATTAAATCAAGACAAGTCAAAGTTTATTTTCATAGCACTTTTTAGAACAGGTGTTGTCACAAAGCAGCTTTACAGAAAAATCTGGGTCCAAGCCACCATGAGCATCGCCAATGGCGACAGTGGCAAGGAAAAACTCCCTAAGAGCAAGAGGAAGAAATCTTGAGAGGAACCAAGTCTGAAAAGGGGAACGCATCCTCCTCTGGTCGACACTGGATAGCAAAACAACAACACACAAGCAATTTGAACAGAGAAATGAACAGTTCAGCCCAATTTAAAACCTTAAATATTACCGAATGCGTTGTAGACATTAACACGTATTCGCCTTCTACAGTGGGGCCATAGTTGTCTCCAGAGAAAGATGTTCTGGTCTAAAGTTTAGGGAAACACAAGGTCTTTGGGGCAAAAACTTGAGCATTATTTAATTAAAATGTCTTATAAAAACAGGCTGTTTAAAGTGTATAGATTGCACTCCATTGTATCAGATTGGTTACAGAATCGTCTTGTTTTGCTTCCTCTGCAGACTGGCTGATGATCCCTCATTACAGATTTAATCAGATTGATCCATGTCATGGAGCTGTTGGACACTCACTGTACCTGCAGCTGATATCCAAGGCTGATCAGTTGATCTTAACGAAGAACAACCGTGGAGCTGATCCTGATCACATTTTCAGATTTAGAAATCAAAAAATCACATTACACCATCCAGATTATCAAAGGTGGCATTTTGTTACTGATAGCAGAACCATAATAATAATCAGTGCAGAGAAAAGAGACTCAGGAAGATACATTTTAGATACATTTGATTCAAGAGGGACATCACAGGGCATTTATCATCTCCAGCTGATTACTGAAGGTGGGTCTACACAATTTTTGAAGTTAAATTTAATCTAAGAACCATTCTTTCTTTACCACAGCATCTTTTAGATTGAATAGGGCCAAAATATGTTATTCAGAGCCAAATACGTGAGAATTTATGGCATTGTTTACAGTGAAATCATAAATAAAAAGTTTAACATTATTAGAAATGTCTTGTGGTTGTAGGTTCCTGTATTCAGTGGTAGATTGAGCTGTGATCTAATTCTATTTTACAGTCTAGATTATAACTCTTCTTAACCCTTCTAAATGGGCAAGACTAGCCAGATAATGCCCTAATCCAGATTACAGCTCCATAATCTAGATTACAATTTAATCTAGATTATAGTTTAGAGCATATTACAGAGCTGTAGTCTAGAGTGCACTATTATCTAGACTTAACTTAAAACTTGATTAAAATGTAATGATTAACCTCTTTTAACTGACCAGTGCCAGTCAGATTATAGCTCACATTAGATTACAGCTCTATAATCTAGATTAGAATTTAATCTAGAGTGTAGTGTACATTATAGAGCTATATACTGTAATCTGGATTAAGATGTAGATTAACCCATTAAATGTAATTACTGAATAATATGATTGGAATGTGATGAACCTGTGCTATTAAGGAGTTAAACTGTGATGTAATAAAGCTATTATCTAGGCTAAACTCTAATGTAGACTAAGATGTAATCTAGACTGAACTGCAATCTAGATTGAGCTATAATGTAGACTGAGCTGTAATGTCGAATGCATTATAATCTAGAAGGCGCTGAAATAGATAGATTGCTAGCTGAAATCTAGACTAAACTATAATCTAGACTGAGCTATAATCTAGACTGAGCTGCAATCTAGACTGAGCTGTAGTCTAGATTGAGCTATAATATAGACTGAGCTATAATCTAGATTGAGCTATAATCTAGACTAAGATGTAATATAGGATGTTTTCTGATCTAGAATGAGTTGTATTCTAGACTGGGCTGTAATCTGACAGAGCTATAATCTTGATTGAGCTCCAGTGTAGACTAAACTGTAATCTATAAACTGTTGCTCTATAATCTGCAGCCACAGTGTCCTCTGTGGAAGTGACTGACAGCTATTTCTCAAGTGAGAAGAGGAGAGTGTCCTGTTCCTCTGATGGAGACTCCCTCCACTTCATCTGGACTCTGAGTGAAATCGCACAAGTGGCTGATGGGAACAAGACTCTTCTGCTGGATAAAGTTGGGAATGTCACCTGCCATGTAAAGAACCATGTTAGCCACGGACACAAAACTATTGAATTACAAAAGTGCCCTGGTAAGATTCATTCTTTCTCTTAATACAAAACTAATAAGATTAAGATTAAGATTAAGATAAAGATTATAGCTGAGTACATTTTTCTGGAAGAATGGCTTTGAGGACAGCATTACCTGAAACATGCTTTCGGGTAATACCATAGAGGGCCAAACTCATGATTTTTGAGTGTGGGCCTCCATGTTCCTTTTGAATTTTGTATTCTGGAGAGCCAGTGCACCATTAAGCATGTAAAAAGCATGAGCTGGAAGTTCTATTTTGTCTCCTAAGAGACTTTTCAGTTGTAGAAGTTAACTAATAATTTCATAGCTGTTATACAGTTACATGCACCACTGACCAAGTAATGTATTTTGCTGAATTTTGAAGTGAAACGAAGAAGTAATCAAGATTTTTCTGTAAATGTTTAAGCACAGTTAGAATAGGCAAATTAATAGTAATTGTGTCATGTGCAAAAGTTTGGTCACCTTCACAGTTGTAAAGTCTTAGAACTTAATTAACTGGTTGAGCCTTAAATGACTTAGAAATGTTTAAGCAGTTCATGAATTATCTTCAGGAATTGTCAACTGAGGACAATGTTGAAGCATAACACATTCTCTTACTCTTCAAACATTTTGCTAACACTCAACAGCCATCTGCTTCTCTAAGCACCTGGCTGAGAATCTGAAAATGAAGCTAACTGATGCCTTTAAAGCAGGGGGAGGCTATAAAAAATATCAAAGCACTTCTAGCTCATAATTTCCACTGTCCAAAATGTCATTAAGAAATGATAGTTAAGGGGAACTGTGGAGGTCAAAGCAAGATTTGCAAGACCAAGAAAGCTCTCAGATAGAACTGCTTGTATGCTGGCCAGAAAGGTAAAGAAAATCCTGCATGACAAAAGTCACTCTTTAGAAATCTTTAGTCACAATAACCAAAGGTATGTTTGGAGAAGAAAAGCAGCAGCATTTGATGAAAAGTACACCGTGCCAAGTGTTAAGCATGCAGGTGGGTCTGTTATGCCTTGGGATAGTGTTGAATCCAGTGGCATGGAAACATTGCAGAAGTACATAGAATAATGAATTCCACTAAATATCTGCAAATCCTGGAAGCAAATGTGTCAAAGTCAACTTGACATCACAGAAGTGTTCTGCAAGAAGAGTGTATGAAACTTCCTAAAACAAGAATTGAAAGACTCTCACTTGTGATATCTGCCACAATTACTATCTATTAATTAATCACATACAAAACTGCTGAATGACAACATTTGCAGAACAATGTTATTTTTGTTTAATGCAGAGGTTGCATCACTTTTTGTAAGTCGCTCTGGATAAGAACGTCTGCTAAATGATGTAAATGTAAATGTAGGTTGTGCTTACTTCCTTTCACTTCAACTTTCTCATATGACTATATTTGTGTTTTGAATTATTGATAGTATTGATAATGATATTGATAGTCATAATATCATAATTATGTACGCTATCCAAAACAGAGTATATACTCCTTTGAAGATGGAGGGATAGAGCAAGAATATACTACACATACTGCACCTGAGCACTTCCTGTGAGTTTGTTCTATGTTAAGTGCCCTGCATGAGATGAACCACAAGTAAATATAGCCCCTTCTCACAAGCCTGTGGAAGTCATTTTTGACCACAGTGTATGTGTTTTCATTGTAAGTATGCTGCTGCAATATATCTGCCACTTTACAGTTTTGTTTGTTTAGTTTCTGTCCTGTTTTTGGATTGTTTGTTGGTATAGTGTGATGCTTCCATCATATCAGAGTGACTTTCCCCCCATGGCTCAGAGGTTTCTTGGGGTGGCTGCATAAGCGATGCCACGATCACAGGCTTACCAGGTTGAGCTTCTCATATGGCTAAGGACACTTTCTGGGCTACAAGGCTTCCTGGGCCATGCACTCAAGCATTGCTACATGGCAGCTATGAAGCTGCCTTGGCCAGCCCCTGGAATTATGCTAGACTGCAGCAACAAGGGCTATCTTGGGCTGTCTGCTTGAGCTGTGCTACATCTCAGCTATGAAGCTTCCCAGGCTGCCTGCTCGAGCTGCGCCATGTCACAGCTATGAAGCTCCCCACGGCTGCAATACACCACCGCTGCAAGGTTGTGGTTGATTTGGTGTTGTATTGTAACTGCAAATACTGGCTTTTCTTAAGAAGAGCTTTGGAAATGGTTCACACACTAACTAAATCAAATCACAATGATGGCCCTGGCCCTAATCCTAAACTTAACCTCAACCTATAACCTAAACCATGTCCTTACCCTAGTCCTAAACCTAACCCTGGTACTAAAACTAACCCCAACTCTAATACTACTAAGAATCAACTGAGTTTCAACAGCTTTATTGATAATTTGCCTATCCACAGACATACTGCTGGGGGCTATCCAAATAAAGTGAAACCAAATAGCTTTACAGATCATTTTCTCAGATGCCTGGGAGATTTCTGCAGTGGAATATACTAAAATACTATCGTTATTTACATAAAAAGTAGAGTTTGTAAACAAATCTGTGTCGCTGTTGACAAAAGTCCACCAATCCAAAAATATCCATGCAACAACCAATCATGTGAGAGATAAGGGGGTAGAGGGGCAGAGGAGGGGGTTTGTCATCTTAATGGATGTTGCTGCACTGTGCTTTAGTTCTAGTTCTTTATCAGAACTGGCCTGGATGGTCCAACTGACAGGTCAAGCCTCTGTCTGGAAAATCTCCTGGTACTCTTGACGGGCAGTCTGAGCCTGAGGAACCCAATAGGAAATGCATATAATATAAAACTGACATATAAAGATCACTGTACTGAAGAAGAGAGAGCCCCGATCTTACTCTCTGTCGCCTACTGCTGTTGACCAGAAGTTTCTGCAGTCCTCACAGCAAAAACTGTTTTTCCCAGTGTTTATGGTGTTTGCATGATTTCAGCTGGGAGTTGATTGAGAGATATTATTAAATCATTTTTTTTTAAACACCAGAATAGTATAGTTTTGAATAGTAAAGTAGTATTCAATTCATGACCAGTAATATGTGACCAACAATATCTCCAGTAAAGATGATGTGCTTTTTAAAAGTTTTTAAATTAAATTAAATATTCAGACCTTACATATTTACAAGAATTATGGGTAACACTTTATATGAATGTCACGTTTGTAAGCATCTATAAACACATTTATTACATGTTATAATGTATTCATAAGGCATTATAAACATGGTTATACATTACACTTTATAGCCATGTTTATTATACATTATGAATTGTTAATATAATGCATTATAAATAGTGTTGATAACATGTTATACTGTCAGTGCCAAAGAAGTCAGTCCCAGCTTGGAGAGCGTAAAGTAAAGAAAAATACCAAGCTAACGGTGGTGTACATTACCTTTCCCACATTGGGTAAAACACTGATGGCAACACTAGTTTAAACTCTGACATTTGAAGCCTGTAATGTGCTTTATTATGTAAGTTTTAGTGTTTCAGTAAATTCTTCACTAAATACTTCAACTTGAAGCCTCACTCTGAACACTGGAGGAGGCTTTAGTACAGTACGCTTCACTTTACTTAGAGTGGACAAATACAACTTATGAGCTCTTATAATTTGTTATGAACAGTATTTATAATTTATTATGTTAACAATTTATAATGCATAATAAGCATGGCTATAACGTGTAATGCATTTTTATAGATATGTATAGCCATGTTTGTAATGCCTTATGAATGCATTATAACATGTTATGAATGTGTTTATAGATGCTTACAAAGGTGACATTCATAGAAAGTGTTACCGAATTATGTTATGATCTATTTAAAATCAAGGCATTAATTGAGAGTGCTTGTAATGTAACAGATCCAGTCAGATGCTCATGGTAACAAGTGAAAAGTAAGGCTTTATTATAAAAAAAAGCAAAAAGCAAAGTCAGAGAGTCCAAGGCAAGATCATAACAGACAAACAGAAATCAGACAAAACACTCAATAGCTCTCACAAATAGAGGCAATACCTCGCCAAAGAACCTGAGCTAAAAGTCCGGGCTTTATACTAACTATAATAGATAACATGACAAAAGATACAGGCGAACGAGATTAATACTCAGGTGACTGCAAGCAATGATTGGAGCACTGTGCAGTGTCATCAGTTACGTGATCTTCCAGAGGATTCTGGGAGATGGAGTTCATGGATTCTTCAGAGTCGGAGGAATGTGTGATGGTACTAAGCTAAATATTTATCATCATTTATAAGATATCTTCTATTAGGAGGTGCCAGTCCCAAATGCTAATCACTAAATTTTAATTTGTGAAAAAATTAAAACTTGATTTCTTTTAAAGTGAAGTAGAAGGACTACATAAATTTAGCATGATTTTATTTTTAAATAGATAAAATTATGTATAAAACGTTGCCCCATGTTTTTATGTCACGACTGAAACAAAGATTTTTAGTCTATATTTATTTTAGCCACACTCCTGCATTTTAGAGTGCAGAGTGAAGTGAGATGCCATCCCTGTCCTACACGTTGAGCAGTTAGATCTCATTTTATTTTAAATAAATAAGTTCCAAAGTCTGAAAATCAGTGTGTGACCTGATGAATTGTCATTACTCAAACACATATTTTCTGCAATTAAGATTTTTTGTGTGTGTTTTCATGAAACTAGTATGCTTTTATGTGTGTACAACTGTTCAAAGCTGTGTTTGCTAGACATGCACTGCTTAGCATTTTTGAGTTCTGCTCAAAATTAGCTAAAATTGTCTCTACCAAAACAGCCATTCCTGAAATATTTGGTAATGTTTTGGTAGTGTTATTACTGTTTTGGTGGTGACAAAATAGAATGTTCAATCATTTGTTTTAATAAAATAAACATTATTAAGGTAATGGATCACTCAAAGCAAAAGGAGTCCAAGTCAGATAAAAGTCCGAAATGTGTTTTGAGCTTTGACTTTGAATCAGTTTGAGAGAATGATCCATATATTGTTCCTCAAGCATGGTCATTTCTGGAAAATATAACCATGGAAATGATCACCTTGGTGGCCCTGTAGTATAGCACATGGTACATCTTAGTAATTGCTGAATACTGGATACTCTACTGGAGTGTAAAATAGGCATAAAATAGTACTTTAAAAGAGCAGCATGCAGGTATATACTAGTATATCATACAGTATACAGTACTTTATTTACAGCATAGTCCAGGTCTCTGTCTCACTCATTTTTTCTGTGTTTGTCAGGTTTCATAGTGTTTGTGTCAGTGTGGCTCTTTGAGGTCATCATCCTGCTGTCCCTGTTAGTTGGAGCATTTTACATCTACACCAGAATCTACAAGAAACGCAGAGCAGCTGAAAGTAAGACCTGTATGTTTCTTCTTTATTATATTAACAATATGTGAACTTTAAAATAACAGGCCTGTAAATAACAGCTTTAAAAATATGTTAATAAATACTCATCATTCAAAACAGGCCATAGACAATTGCTATGTATTTATTCATAATTATCAAATTTATTCATAATTCAACTGTTTTCAAGCGACTAAGTAAATGTTTAATATTTCACATTTTATAAAATATATGTATTAAGTAACCAAATCAACAAACTATAGTCAATAATTAAGTTCCTACAATTCAAAGTAATGATTGATTATTTGTATGTCACTCAATCAAGGGTTACCTGTTCCAGTGATAATGTTTATTATTAACAGCCATTAAAGAGCAATTACATATTAAGTTGTTTTTAAGATCTTTGTTAGGGTCTGTTATCAGTGTTATCAATAGTATTAATATTGGAGAATGTACACTCACTGTGCACTTATTTGGAAACACCCACAATTTACTTTCTCTGACTGGCCGCTGTATTAGAAACGCCCACCTTATACTTCCACTCAGTGGCTTTTTTATGGGCTCCATCTATGATGATAGAGGTGTCCAGTTACAGACCGAGGCTCATCTGTTTTCAGGCACTGTTATTAGCCTCCCTCATTCATCAATGGTGAGTTTTTTACCATAATACTGCTATTGTCCAGATATCACTGGGGTCGTGACTTCATACTCACTGCTAGGTTGAGAGTGGCCCGCCTCCTAAAATGCCCAAATAACAGTGGCTCTGTGGTCAGAAACCTAACACTGATGAAGGGATTGGCAGCATTATGTTCTCTACGCTCATTGAAAAATGGTTCTTCAAGGGTTTTTTAGTAAAGAAAAAATGTTCTATAAAGAACTGTGAACACTCAAAGACCCCTCTGCATGATTAAAGGATTCTTTACATCAAGAAAGATTAGATTGATCGAGAATGTGCTGTAGACAAAAGGCTTCTTCTATTGTTATAAGATTTGCATTGTAACAATAGAAGAGCCCTATTGTTGTGCTATATAGAACTCTTTTCAAAAAGGTTTTCAAAAAGGAGTGTTCATCATTCTTTATAGAACCTTTTTCTTTACTAAAGAACCCTTAAAGTACCATCTCTTTCAAGAGTCTAGATAAACTTTAAATGAGGCTCTGTAGACCAATCTGGATCATCAAAGGAGAAGTAGGAGAGAAACCATCAGACTCTCGACCTTACACCACCTCAATCATCAGCAGAAAAGAACCATCATCTTTTTTTTTTAGCTTTTATTTGTTTATTTGTTTGTTTGTTTTTAACATTTTGTGCAAAAACCTACAAAACACCCAAAAGGAAAGGGAAAAACCCAGAAAGCATAATAGGTCCCCTTTAAAGTACAAGCCTAAAGTGGTCAAATTGGCTGATAAGATATCTTGCTTAGCTGTTCATACTTAACCCTCTTAGGATGACATTATTGTACTCGACATCAAATCATGTCATGCATAAAACAATAAGCATCTTGGGAACACAGCATTCTACAGATTTACTTTCATTTTTTTTTCACGTAAGGCTAGTGTTTTGCCATTTCAATGAGGACTTCACTGTTTCTCTTCATAAGTTTTTTAATCCAGTCTTGAACTGCAAAAAAGTCTTTTTGGAGACATTTTATGACAAATTCAAATCCAACGTGAAGGTCTTCTGTGATTATACACTGATCAGGCAACACCATCTGTTTCTTTGCATACTTTGTTAGCCCCATTTTACCCTGTTCTTCAGTGGTCAGGACCCCCATGGACCCTCACAGAGCAGGTACTATTTGGGTGGTGGATTGTTCTCAGCACTGCAGTTACACTGATGTGTTGGTGGTGTGATAGTGTGTGTTGCGTTGGTATGAGTGGATCAGACACATGCAGCAGTGCTCTGTGAGGGTCCATGGGGGTCCTGACCACTGAAGAACAGGGTAAAAGGGGCTAACAAAGTATGCAGAGAAACAGATGGACTACAGTCTGTAATTGTAGAACTACAAAGTGCACCTATGTAGTAAGTGGAGCTGATAAAATGGACAATGAATGTAGAAGCAGTGAGGTGGTCATTATGTTATACCTGATCGCTGTATATGTTTCTCAGTGTTGAAGAGTTATTGTTGCCATTGGCACCTTGGGTCAAGTCTGTTGACCAATAAGTCAGGCTGTGTTCCTGACTCGTTGACCAATCATCCTGACTCATCGCCAGAACAATGCTACCCTTCCTGGCAAAATGAAAGTACTTCTCTAGCATGCAGTGTTCGCTAAATATTTTTCTTTTATCTGTGACACGCTTTGATGTCTCATATGACCTCATCGTGTGAGCAGGTCAATAGCTAACAACTGATGGCAGAAACAGCTTAAGCTCAAATGAACAAACGTTGCTCACTGTTGCCCTCTAGAGGTGTTCTAGCTCAAGCCAGTTTCATATGACCCAAGACGCTTTGTTATGCGTTGTTTAATTTACATATATTTGGCTGAAAAGCATCCATCCATATTCAGCCATACTGTTGGAATGTAAACATAGCATTGTGAAAGCAAACAACTGTGGAAAATAGTTGCAATCAAGCAATTATTTAATAATTGTGTGAACACTGATAACAAGTAGACCAACAGCAATTTTAAAAAGCAATAGTTTCAAGTGTTTTAATTGAACAGATTAAGTTTTTATCTAAGAATCTTTGTTTCCTATGGCAGAGAAAGCAGAAGTTCAGCTAACATAGGACAATGGTAAATTTAATTGAGAGTGAAAATGTTTTCAACAGATGAGACCAAACTAGTCGGCCTTGTTTTACTTCTGTCCTTGCTTAAGCATGCTGTCCTCACTTTGTATCAGAGGAAATGTTTCTCTGTGAATGGCTTTGGCTTGAAGGATGAACTGCTTTCAAAATAGCCTGAATTATTGCTCTGCTCTGTATTGATTGTCTCACTCATTGATGGAGAAAATCTACCAAAGCAATTTAATTTTTCTTAGTAAATTCCACAGATTTTCCAACATTTCTGCATAGTTAAATGGCACAATAATGAAGTCATTTGAAATTAATTTTAATAATTATAATAATCATAATAAAAGGGGTTTTAGGCTAACAGGACAAATGAATCTCTAAATGAGTTAAAGTTTAATAATAATGCAATTGGTGAAAAGGCAAGAATCAAACTTTTTTGTCCAGTAAAATACTGTGGTCTTCATTTTATTGTGAAATCAACTTATCTTAAGATGTTTTCAGTAATACCACAGCAAATTACTGAGCTGTACCACACAGCATTATGGGATATCACAGCAATGGCCAAGGTCCACTGGTGGGCCTAAAGGTTTATTACACACTTCTTTAGCCTAAGAATAGCTCAGCCAGTTTGCTTTGAAGTCCTTGTAATTAGTGCATAGTAAGCTTTAATATGTAATAAGCCTGGGATTTTAAGGGGTTAAGTAGACACAAACATTTTACTAAAAATTATTTGAAGTGTTTTATTCTAACCATTCAGGTTTCGGAAGCCACTTAAAGTCTTTTTATTATTGTTGTTGTTGTTGTTTTTGCTTTTTGTTTGAAAAAAAAACACTGAGCAGTGGACAAAAATGATTAGTGTTTATTAGTGTTGGCAGATGTGTTTTTGGTGATGTTTGTTCTGTAAAATGTGAGATGCGTATGCATATACAATGTGGTTCCTTTTTCTGTAATAATATTTTTATGTCTGGTTAAATGAAAAGTAATTTTTCATATCATTTTTGTGTTACTTTTACAGTTAGGTATAAATACAGGGAATTACAGCTTATTACTGCAAAATTAAACTGTAAGTGTTCAACACAATAACAGCTACATCACCGTTATGTTGTGGCTCAGGTGAGTGTAGTGTCACAGTATAAAGATGCTACTGTTATATTAATGTTATAGTAAGCTACTGTTAAATTAATGCAACTAGTATCCAGTAATTTACTGTAATTTTACACTGAATTATCACAGTTCTCTTTCAGTTCATGTCAGTTTGGGCCCCTGAAGTTGGAGTCTAGAGGTCAGAGTGGCCAGACAGCTTACACTCTAGTTTCTACATGAGTAAAGGTGTGAATGCTTTTGTATGGTACCCATAAATACTCATATCCTGTAAAGACAGTTGTGTTCCTCTTCCATACACTATAAATAACTGCTGCATAATATGTGGCAGCTGTTTTTACAGAACAAAGACATGCAGATAGAAACTAATAGGAAGCTTTTTTACACAATTTCATAATAATAATAATAATAATAATAATAATAATAATAATAATAATAATAATAATAATAATAATAAATTGTTTTGAGGTTATTATGCTATTGTATGTTGCTGTTGTCGGAACAAATCTCATGCTTTGGAAAAAACATGCTTTACTTTTAATGAAAGTCAATGGAATCAGACTTTTTTCCAAGTAATTTTGGGCTATTTTTTGAGGTTCGTTTATCATTACATTTACACACAAGGAGTAACAACATGGGACTTTCAACTATTGTCAAAAAACATTAAAAAATGACAAAAATGGAGATACAAGGAAAACTTTTAGACTCCCTGCATGGCCAGTACTTAGTAACCCCCACTTTGGCGAGTATCACAGCTTGTAAAAGCTTTTTGTAGTCAAGTAAGAGTATTTCAGTTCTTGTTTGAGGGATTTTCACACATTCTTGTTTGCAAAAGATTTCTAGTTCTGTAAGATTCTTGGACCGTTTTGCATGCACTGTTGTTTTGACATCTATCCACAGTTTTTTGATGATGTTTAGGTCAGGAAATCATGATGGCCATAGCAAAACCTTCAGCTTGTGCCTTTTGAGTTAGTCTATTGTGGATTTTGAGGTGTGTTTAGGATCATTATCCCGTTGTAGAAGCCATCCTGTTTTTCAGCTGTTTTACAGATGAGGTGATGGTTACTTCCAGAATTTGCTGATATTTAATTGAATCCATTCCTCCCTCTACCAGTGAAATGTTCCCCTTGCCACTGGCTGCAACACAAGCCCAAAGCTTGTTGGATCCAGCCCCGTGCT